AAAACACAATTCAAAAAACAATCAAAATGAGTTAATTTTTAACTACGGACAAGACAATCAGTATACACTAACGAACAACGCAATTTTTTTCACTAGCCTGACTCGTTTTCATTCTTTAGCTAATCGAGAATCCGAAGTCTTTTCTCCGTTATAATACTGAACATGAAATCTTGCATGTAAGTAATAAACTAGATATTTTCGTTCAATAACTAAATTTATATGGAATCAAGGAAATATGACGTACGTTGTACGAAATGACTTCTTTCTTATATACATATATAATGGTAACGGAGCAAATATTCGTAATGTTGGAATGTTAGGGCTACCCGAAATAGTTCGGAAAAATGGTTTTACTGGATTTTGTCTACTTTAAGCTGAATGTGCCATATTATGGTCACATAAACTGGAGGCCACCAGATTATGTCAGATTTTTGGCAGCGCAGTCTGACGTCCCCGGTCGGAGACCTAGAGAAAGAGCCAAGACAAGGTGGAAAGATGTACTGAAGTACAAAAGAGAATAGAATATTACTGTCGATGATATCAAAGACAGAGCGAAGTGGAGGAGAAAAAAGGAAAGCAGACCCCACCACCACATGAAATGCAAAGAAAAGAGAGAAAGAGAAAGAGAGTAGGCGGTGTCAACTAAGTTGAACATGTAGAGACTATTACTGAGCCTTTTCAAATAAATTAATACTAGATTCTAATGTAGGTAGTTATATTCGCATTTCGGTAGACTGTTCGGCCAATACTAAATTTAACTTCTAACTTTCCACTTTTCAAATAACCATAGATTGAAAATAATTCATCGTTATAATATATAATAACTATAATATTTTCCGTTTAATGTAGTTTATGTAGCTTAAATTTTACCATTGTTGAACGATCAGCAAAAAAGCCTAGCACCATTTTCAGCTTTAGACCATCGAAACAATTAATATTCGGCAACTGTACTGAAACCGCAAAGCTCGACGATTGCAAAATAACAAATTAACGTTTTGAATTTCATATATGATGTATATAAAAAATAAATATGAACGTGAATTTATTAAATTATGGTAAAATATTTTAAAGGTACAGTACGAGTGGCAACCCTCTCATAAAATATACGGAGCGTAAAGTCAGAAGCGAGCAAATAGCGCGTAAATTATATATGAGTTTGCGACCTTGGATTACAACGGCGCGCACCGCGGTGGGTTGTGCGGCTGTGCCTTTATTTACTTCAAAAGCTTTTAACCAAAGAAAACGTTATATACGAGGCAATCCAACATGTAACGTGCTACATTTTTTAAATTCACCAAGTCTTCGTGGTGTGCATCTTTTTGTGTAGTATTAATAAACGAAGCTTTTGTTAGACTAACGGTTTTTTTATTAAATTATTATAATACTAGCGACTCGCCTTCGCTTCGCTTCGGAAACTGTAATTTATTATTGATTTCTCCACTATTTAATGGATGTTATTATACATATAAACCTTCCTCTTCAATCACTCTATCTATTAAAAAAACCGCATCAAAATCCGTTGCGTAGTTTTAAAGATTTAAGCATACATAGGGACAGACAGATATAGGGATAGAGAAAGCGACTTTGTTTTATACTATGTAGTGATGCATTATTATTGTTTGAGTGATTCAGGTTTTGTTAGATCCCATAGATGTTTCTGCACACTAATTGTGCTGGAATACTAGAGGTGGGTCAAGCACGGCTTGGTGTGGTATCGAGTCGTGCTTCTGTCTGAGCTAGTTCTCTTATAAGCAATCATGTGTTCTAGTGTGAAAAGATATATTATGTATTTTTTTCGTGCGAAGCAGACCGATGTAATTTGTCAAGCTAATGTTATATGTATTACGTACAGGGCGGTCTGAGTTCGTCTAGATTGGCAAACCTGGATAGGCGTTGGGGCGAAGGCTAAGTCATAAATTATGATGAGCTTCCTCAGCAAAAGGATGGTGGGAAATCAATAATAGTTCAAAGAGTTCGTGATAGAATAGATGATTTGATTTGATATTGTAGTTATGTAAGGTCCATACATTTTTATTATTATTGCCTAGACGAGTAATAGAGCTACCAGAAACAGGCAGGGTTGTGGTACTTACCTATTAAGGTTCATATTATCCCCGACTACCAGTAAAAGTACCTCTATACTTAAATAGTCCCAAGGAATTCCACACTATTCGAAGTCTCTACACCTTGAATAAGTCTCACGTCTTTTCTTGGCAGCTATGAGTCATCAGTCAACCCATTATCTAACTTTCTAAAAGTTCGTCTTTTATACCATTGTCTTTTATAGTAAATGTTTAACATTCAAATCAGTTTTGGACAGAAAATCAGATTAAAAATTTACTTCCTTAATAATTTACTTTACTTACTTAAAAATGTTTAAAACATTAAATATAACTATGTAACTAGTAGCTAATAGAAGTCACAAATCTCAAATCCATCGTAAGCAAACTCATAAATCATTCATGGAAAATCCAAGTATTAAATCATTCATGGAAAATCCATTAACCAACTTTATTAAAGCAAACGAATTTCAACAGCAAAATTAAATGAGAAATTGAACGGATACGCTACGAGAAACTAACGAGCTACGATCGCGCTACGAGCTCTACGGAATCGCTACGAAGCGCCTGGGTCACTAACTCAGCACTGATCTCATTACTTATTTCGGTGGTTGGTAATAAGATACGATCTCATTACTGCTTATTTATTATTAAAAAAAACATTTTGGTATTTATTGGTGGTGGAGGATATTGAGAGTCCCTCAAATGGCTTAGGTACTACAAGCAAGATTGCAAACCAATTGAACTGTAGACACGCATATCATGTCTACTATCTACAATATCATGTTGGCAGTAATCAACTCAATTTCTCGGGGTTAAAAAAAAGACTTTATACAATAGGAAACCAAATAAGTGTTTTTCACAACAACACTTACAAATCAAATGCTTTCAAATAAGGTCTCATTCTCTTTAAGGCTATTATTTAACTAGATTTGTTTTTAATACAATATTTTAGAGTACAATGAAGTCAGATTCTATTACTTAAGTTGTTTAGGTATTTTAAAGCTTGCTAAAAAAAATTAATGTCGAGTTTTATAATTATGTGAAAACATGCAAATATCCGCTGAAAACAACGACACCGTCCGATTTCTAAAATATCAAACATCGAACTTTATTTTGACTTACTGGCATTAACCGACTACTAGAGTCCATAGACAACACAGCGTGAATGCTGCCTCCTCTAAATCATGAGATCATGGTCTTAATTGTACTGTAACTACCCAAACTTAATAAAACTTAGCGGTATCGTCTTCTTTCACGTCGTGCGCATATTATTTAACAAGTAAATATCTCTGTTCAGCCTTAGTGGCTCCTCCGTGTAAAATAAACATCGTTTACAAATTGTTGCCATAATTTGCACGAGACTTTTACGACACTCCCCCGAAATAGGGTTCATAGCAGACCTTGAAAATTATTCAAAAGCATTCTTACTTTAACCTTAGAAATTTAGTAGTATGAAAAAAGCGGTGAAAAAAAAAACGAATTAATTTTATTGAAATATTATGCATAGCACGTTAGTGGAAAGTTGCTTGAATTTTCCGGTTTCATCGCTTGAATTAAATTTCTAAAGTAAATTGACTCCAGTGCTGCCTATTTTGGCTTCCTTGATAAAACAGAACAGAGGGAGTGTTGTAGATGATAGTGTCCGGTATCAGATTACCCAATAACGTAAAATGATTTCAATGTTGATTTTTCGCTTTGATTTACGAGTAATGTTTGTTAGTTAAATTGAGTACAGTTCTGGTGGTGGTAGACCAAATTTTGAGATTGGACTGTACGTATTCTACCCATTTCTGGCATGAAACATTGATGCATAAATACTTGGACAATAGGACAACCGTCATAAAAATATAATACAATGTAGAATTCGCCTTCATTTCGATGCGAATGTACATCGCAAAAGTCGATGGTTTGCGTTATTATTTATGACAATTGGCTATGAGTTAATTTTCCCACACAAAAAAATAACAGTTTAATTTTTTTGTGATATGGTTTACGCAACAGACTTCACGGTGCGCGGACAAAGGAAACCCAAATACTTGGGCACTGTGAAGATAGAATTAACGATGTAATCATTAAATTAGAACTGTTTAGATACATTTAGGTTGTGTTGAACATCTAATACATATTAATGAATCGATACTCTGTAACTGCAACGGAAGTTTGCCAAATTGAGGGTAGTCACTAAAAGTATGTTTGGTTGTATTTATATTCGTTCGTTCGTGTATCACCCGAAAACAATTAATTTTAATCACATTTCTTTGGGCTTGAAAAATTATGTTTCGAATTAAAATTTCATTTTGTGTTACATTTTATTTAATTACGATAGCGAAGGCCAAATACATAAAGCAATATTATTTCACAAAGGTAACCTATGTATTTACTGAACTAGATTAATGAAAGAGCTCATGGTCTAACTGGTATGGAGGTTGAAATATCAATTCAAGTAGGGTTTTTATTTTTGTTGTTTAGATGGGTGGACGAGCTCACAGCCCACCTGGTGTTGAGTGGTTACTGGAGCCCATAGACATCTACAACGTAAATGCCACCCGCCACCCACCTTGAGACATGAGTTCTAAGGTCTTAGTATAGTTACAACGGCTGCCCCGCCCTTCAAACCGAAACGCATTATTGCTTCATGGCAGAAATAGGCGGGGTGGTGGTACCTACCCGTGCGAACTCACAAGAGGTCCTACCACCAATGGCGCATTTACGTCGTAGATGTCTATGGGCTCCAGTAACCACTTAACGCTAGGTGGATTATAAGCTCATCCACCCAGATAAGCAATAAAAAAAACAATTAAAATATAAAACAGCCGTTCCACAATCTAAATGGCAACACAAAACTTCTTCCCTTCAGAAAGGCACTGGACTGTGAGCCTTTGCGTGCTGTTATACACATGTCCTTAGTAATTACGTAATTTTATATAAAAAACTTACGTGATAGAGATAAAGGTTGGTGTCGCAGCCTTTATTCTTGTCCGTGGATAGTCCATGTTCGTCGGGGTCACCTGGAATAGACAGAAAACAATGTTAACTAAATAACATTACAGGTAGCACGAACGGGAGCGCCGGCGTAATTAAATTGCTCATCAAATTACCGCCAATCCAATTATATTATGTATGTTGATGCTTCACCGCGCTGCGATTTCGCTTCCGGGGTAATGTAAAAACTATTATATATTACAAGAACAGCTTCTGTTTTTGTTGAAACGTTCGTTTCACTTTTATAAAAAAACTATAGTAATTTATTTCTTAATTACGTGACTTACTGCGTTTTGAATTACATTATTTTGGTATGGAGTTGATATTGAAGCTATTCATTACGAGAGTTCCACTTTTAAAGTAGGGGTTGATTAGGATTTAGAATTTTAAAGAAATTCTTTATCGTTTCCGTTTTGATGCGATTTCAAATAAAACCATGAAGCTGATACCGGAAATTATAGAGAACGGGTTCTGTATTTCACTAGGATAATACTAAAATAACGCGTTCATGTTGTAAGGTTGTAATGGTTTAATTTAGTAGGCTGCACGGCATTGATAAGTGTTTGGATCAGGACCCAGTTTTAGCATATTTAGCATATAGAAGGAGCACAGAAATAAAAGTAAAAATTTCAAGGCTTAAAACGTCGAAGACAGCAGATAACAATACAGATTAATTACTGTATGATTCCTGAATCCCGATGCGAAGTCGCTGCGAAGGCGGCAGCGGTAACCGTTAATGACGAACAGAAATGAATTTTCGATGTTTAATTCATGGAACAGTCAGAATACAAGATCACGATGTAGGAAACAGTTGGAAATGAAGCCCAGGAGAATTGCGAATAGAGTAAAATTAGGTAAACTCATATTACGTATAATGCATAGTTCGAACTACGATCGCCGTATGAAAGAAATATTAAAAATTCGAAACAGAATCAAGCTAAAAATGTAGATTGTCATTTTGGTATATAGAGCATCCGTGAATTCAAGTGCGGCTGAGAATCAAAGATAGAAGGACATGAACCGAAGATATGCTAATGGAACGAACCATCGCTATCCAGGAGCTCCCGAGAGGCAGAGAGAAGGAGATCTTTTTGGCATGTGCGTTGCTGTAGTTACTGGCGTTTCGACAAAAGTAAATAATCTACTAAAAAAGTAGGTGGTGGCTTGAATCTGCCTATAGCATCGTTGATGTATACAAGTAACGGTAACCACTCCTTGTCCACAGCTTCCCGCGCGCTTTGACATGTCCTTCTTCAAATGAGGCTTGTGGAGAGTACTTAATGGTAGGCAGCGACTTGGCTCTGCCCTTGGCATTTTAAGTCCATGGGGGACGGTAACTACTCACCATCTGGTGAGCTCGTTAGCCTACAAGGGTCATAAAATTAAACTAGATTTTTAAAGTACCTAACAACTCTTTTCATTCTGCAGTAAACTAATCGTGAAAATTAAATGGCAACTGTTGAGTAAAATCCCAGTGACTCAAGTAATTTATAAATAAATGTAATGTTAATATTCTTTATCAAAGTAACGCACATTGCCGGTGATAAAAATAATTACATTTACATAAGCTTGCCTCGCTCGCGCGCTTCTGTTGTCTACGGGGACGCGTGCTATTTAGCTGTAAAAAATATTGTTGTCGTATATAAACTGCGACATTATTAATTAGCTTGAGTACACGAGGCAACAGTTGAAATGTAAGATAATAAAAACATGAGCCAAATTATTTGTTTTTTTCAAAAAATAAGACAACTTTGAAAAATAGGTATATTATCGTTGAAAATTTGTGAGAATTCGTCGAATCAACTTATTTTTAACTAGCGGCTGCTCCGACTCCGCTCGGATCGGCACGTGATGTAAAGAATACTTTAGGTCATTTTTGTACACCTTGGGTTACATTATTGGAGTTTTAGTAAGGAACCCTAATTTTTTCAAAAATTTTTATACCACTCGGGAATAATGTCGCTTCCATACAGTGAAAGAATTTTTCAAATCGGTTCAGTAGTTTCGGAGCCTATTCAATACAAACAAACAAACAAACAAACAAATAATTCCTCTTTATAATATTAGTATAGATGTCCAAAACATTAAGAAAACCTCAATAAATACAGAATACAAAAGCCTTTATATCTTGCTTCACAGACGATATATTAATTTACAGGTCGTAATTCTCATAAGCAGATGGGTTCCAGTTAATATATGTTTTTGGATGTAGACAAACGATGTGTTTGCACGCCCGCCCGGGCTTTTGTGTTATATACCTTATTTATATACACATACGGAGTCGAAACAGGAACAAGTTTCTGATTCCATGCTGTTCGAGAATTGTTTAACGAGTTTGTTGAATTTTGTTTGTTTTTGTAACGTATGCTCAATTTAGACAAATTGTTTAATTACAATGCCGTAAGGTTGTTGAGTAGGCATATTCTAGCAAGTTTCTTCAACTAGCAAGTTTCTTGCGCCTTTTTTGTTATTGCTAGAACTGTATCTATTTTTCATAACACCGGTAGTAGGGCACGTTGTGAGCCTGTACGGATAAGTAGGTACCATCGCCCTGTCTATTTTTGCCATGAAGCAGCAATGCGTTTCTGTTTGAACCACCCGTGTAGCTGTTGTACCATAAATTAAGACTTAGATCTTCACTGGTGGTAGGACCTCTTGTAAGTCCGCACGGGTAGGTACCACCACCCCGCCTATTTCTGCCGTGAAGCAGTAATGCGTTTCGGTTTGAAGGGTGGGGCAGCCGTTGTAACTATACTGAGACCTTAGAACTTATATCTCAAGGTGAGTGGCGCATTTACATTGTAGATGTCTATGGGCTCCAGTAACCACTTAACATCAGGAGGGCTGTGAGCTCGTCCACCCATCTAAGCAATAAAAAAAAAACATGTTTCAAGATGCGCGGAGGCATTCATATGGTTGATGTCTATGGGCTCCGGTGACCACTTAATATAAGATGGGCCGCTTATCCACCCATCTTAAAAAAAAACATTCAGTTTGATTGATAGAAATTGATCCTTGTTAGCGATAATATGATGTAATTAAATGATATGTTTTTTCCTCATTATCACTGAATAATTTTAACAATAGATTTCAGGTTAAAGTGATTGATGCAGTTTTAGTTTTACATCAAAAAAGGGCTAGAAACTCCTTTGAAGATTTATTTTTATACCTTTAATGGTTCTTTTTTTAATGAGAGTAGACATAAAACCTATCGCATGGCCAGTTATAAAAAAAAGAAAAGAAGAAAAAAAAGAAGACTATCGCCGACAGCACCGCACGCATTGTACACGCACACGCGGCTTGTTTTTTCACCTAAATATTTTTTATGGACTTTTACTACTTTTCTATTAAATTACGAACTCTTATTGACGATCATATTCGTCGTTGCGCGAGTGGTATACCAGTTTTGTGAACAAACAATTTAGAAGAGTGCCGTCAAGTCGTCACGCCGGCTGCCGCCATTACGCGTCGTCCAGCAATCTCGTTCGTTGTATTCTGCAGCCAGTAAGAAGCCAGCGATGGGATTGGCAGGTACGTCTACTTCTCATAATCTAGCTTCGGCCTGCCCCTCTTTTTGTTCATCTTTTAGCGATACTCGCCCCCGCAGAAACTTCCAAAATATAGAACCAGCGCACCGCCGTGGTGAAAATTTGTAAAGAATTTTTCCCACTGTTTAAGATTTGAAATGGTTCATATACGCTTAGAGAATTAATCCATTAAATATAACAAAAACTTCTTATTTATAATAAATATATCCTACTATTTCACCGACAAGAAAATATAATCACTAGAAGGTTATTGGGTTTTTAAAAATGAGACTGTAATAGTGGTACTACAAATGTTAAGTACGACTGTAGAGCATTCGGAAGGAACTATGAATAAGAGATTTAAATATTTAAGTAATATTAATAATTCCTAAATTCCCAAAAAAGTGAGGCATATATTATGATTAGCGATTAAAATGTAACCGAAGTAAAATATCCTCATTTTTGTTGTTTTATTCTTATAAAACAATAATTTTCAAAAGTCTTTCTTTCACCCTGTCAATTATGCAACGTTAAATTTGACACTTGGATTCCTTTTCCCAAATCCGTTGCCGAGGATGAAAATAAATTATCGAAATGTCAGATCTATAATTCTGTTTCTGATTGCGGTCACACTCAAAATGTAAATTTCTTTTCGAGGGTTTTTACTGGAATATCTGTGGGCGTTCGCACTGAAGCTTCAATTATTTTTCCAGTAATTCACAAAATAAGTCAATTCATATCTGGTTGAAGTAAATATTGTATCAAATATAGAAGAAACACATGAAACCCATTAATGTCATCATCGTCATATCACATTATGTTTTTAATGTGACTTCAAGTTTAAAAGGTAGTAAAATTGTAAATTGTATTAAAAAAACATTCATTAAAATAAATTTGCTCCACTTTTTACGACCCAGATTAAATACAATTTTTTTATGGTGAAATAATCATAATATTTTCGTATTTAAGACATCTTCATGATTCGATAATTAAAACGGGCACAAAATCAAATTGGAACACGCTTTTTTAGCAAATGAAGAAGTGCTTGAAAAAAAAAATAAGCTTATGAAACTGAGTTTCCCACATTACTAGAATGATGAACTTTGGTAGGATTCGTTGACACGTTTGTCAGGTAATCCGGCTGCGGTTTTGTGGTTTCATGTGTAGTTGGATCCGTCCGTTCGTAGCCACTGTTTGCGTTGATCAAGTCTGTAATCTTACTTTGATATATTGTTGGTTATGAAGTTGATATAGATGCTGTGGTTAAGTTAATCATTGGCAGTCTAGCTTCTGTGTTGGTTGGCTAGTTTCTACGTTAATTTTGGCCAAGTTTTTTCGTAAAATAGTTGTTGTGTGGTAAATTTGGAAATCTGGACACTTGTGTAAATTCTGTTAGTCTTTAAATTTGATTACGCATTTAAAATAATATTTGGAACATTTTTGTTGTCGTTGATTAAAGGATGCGATATCTCGATATGAGACTGTAGTTTAATTTGTGT